GATCAACAAACATACTATTTTCTGCTACCCATTTTCGTTCTGCTTAGCATTTCTACCAGCTATAACAATTAAGCTACTGAGAGAAATTTCATTTTAATGGCCAGCTGAGCAGAGGTGCCCACATAAAAAAGCAGGAAGGACTTAAACTATCAGGTTGTGGCAGATATCTTGATTTTTTCTGACACAAAAAACACACAACACAAAGAAAATGCCTCAGACATAGCTTTTCCTTTTATACATTATTTTCATCTTTTCAACACAAATCTTTAGAGTGGGGCTTCCTTCTATTAACTCTTTTTGAGTGTTATCTTGCCAATCCAAAATTTAGTGTATAATTTCATTCTTACAGAAACTTCCTAATTTTTAAATCGCATGATTAAGAAAAAAAGAACAGTTAACATTCCATTGTTCAGGGGGAAAAACAATCTTGTTATGTTCGAATATGTTTTTTACCATGTAAATTATGAAGCAATCATTATTAAATAGAACTCGGTACACAACTTTCATTATAGGGCCCAAGGGGACTTCCTTTTTCAATAACTGAAGCAGCCAATCAAAACATAATTATTTTGTCAAAAGCATCAACCTATAGAAAAGCTGCAGTTCAACAGGGGCCTTTAAGAACTCTTCAATAAGATCCAATATCTTAATCAACAAAAATAATGAGTTATATTAATGTTTTCATAGGACTACCTTTTTCCCAATGAAATAATGTATTGCTATTATCAAACTTTACAATACTAATAAATAGATATGTACTTTCTTTCCCTTTTCTGTGGTTTTTTTTTTTTTGCGTGTGTTTTGTGTGCTGTTGCTCCCTAACCACATCGAGTGGACAGTGAGACAAATACCAAGTATATTGTTGAAGCTGACCCTACCCCATTGCCCATCAGCCCACACCCTCAAACCAAGTGCAGGGTAGGAAGCCAGACTCTATTTCCTTTAGCATTTGGAGAAGGCAGAAGCACAAAGAAGAATCCATCTTAATCTGTGGCACATGGTCATCCAAGGAAAACCCACATTCCATACACAGAACATTGCTGGTGAGATTTAAATTACTTGTATCTATTAATTGTTATGTTCAGCAGTAACTCCATACTGCCTATCTTGTATTTGTTTCTCATTGTATGTATTCCTATTTTCCCCAGTTTCACCATATCCTGTTCTTTCAATAAAGCATTCAGATCCACACACACAGTCTGTTTTATTGAAGAATAGGTGGGTTAGTTGCATGTCAAGCTGCACACAGACTAACACACAGTGAGGACAGCGGCTACCCAGCAAGTAGAATCCAAGGTAACGAATATACAGAGCTCTGCTACTCTGCCAATTCAGCTACCTGAATACAGCCATACAGCAGCCTCTAGACAGTCAAGCACCTCCAGAAGACACCATATCACAGAGCTGGGCATCTTCATACAAGACAAGATCTCAAGTCTTTAATTCTTCCAAATAATCATCAGCCACTTCGTCAATCCAGTGGCCATTGCCAGTGCAAAGACTGAAGCAGCAAAAGCATGAGCAGCCTTTGCTGAACAAGACATAGAAATGAAAAAAACAGGAGCACTGTTAGAAGCTGAAAGAATGCAGCAACAGGCATCCCAGGAAATACAGAAAGCACAGTTAAGAGACTGAAAGAATACAGCAAGAAGCATCACGCCGAATGCCGAAAGCCCTGTTAGAAGTGAACCTAGAGTGGGTTGCCATAGAGAAAGAATTAGCAGCTGCTAAAGTGAAGGCCTTAGAGAGCTGTATATTTTGAGAACAAATGCAGTAAACATAGCAATTTGCTTGGCCCAGAAGCTGAACCCCAAGATCCTCTGCAACGCACTTCAAAGTACATCTCAGCACTCCAGGCTAACCAAGCAGCAATGCTCACCTCGATAAGAAAGACAACTTACAACAAACAAGCCAAAGATGTTATTCAGCACCACTACAGGCTAACAGCAAATCCCCACATCCAAGGTACTTGAGGCTGCAAATTATCCTACAAGAACAGCCTTCATGCCAGAGCAGCATAGAAAGGACCAGCTGAAACTAGAGACTTCTAAAGGGTATGACTACTCAACACCTTTTCACTCCAGCAATGCCATCAGAGACTTAGATTAGTCATATAGTGAGGAGATAGATTTAATAATTATATGGCTCAGAATTGAATCTGCTGAGCATGCAAAACGAATCAGGACAATAAACATAAACCACCCCGAAACAAGCCTTAAAACAATCTGGGACAGACTTGATGAATGCTATGGCTTAGCAAAAGCATAGAAAATGCACTGCTCAAAAGACTTGATAGCTTTCCCAAAATACTTAACAGAACCTAAGGGGACTTAGAGACTTATTAATGGAACCTCAAGTAGTTAAATTGGAAGGAGACTTCCAAGCAGTTGCATTCCTTGACACAGCCAGAGGTGTCAACCCAATCATACAAAAGTTACCCTATAACTTACGAGAACATCACACGTGGCTCCAAATACAAAAGAGAGTACAATGTTCCATTTTCCTTCTCTGTTTTGTGGACTTCATGTGCCAATAAGCTAAAACATGAAATGATCCTAACTTTCGCTTCACATTGTCATATGCTGCTTCTTCAGAATATAGTTCTCTCAAGCCTTCAGTAGTACTCCACAAAACTAATATTACCCCTCCAGATTCCCTTCATAGGTCTGCTAGCTCCTGTCACATAGAAACTGAGATCAGAGATCCTGGTAAGCAGCGACCTCTACACCAGAAACCACATCCTCTCCTAAAATGCAGATATTACTGCAAAGCTTCCCTGAAAGCAAACATTTGCTACAAGTGCTGCTCATCAATCCCTTACTTTGCCAACAACTGTAAGGTCAATGTAAAATGCATGGAATATAGCAGCACAGACCACAACACAGCTTTGCACCCAGGGCCAGCACAATGGACTTTACAACACACTTACAGTGGAAGTGAGCATGTGCTACAACCACAACAGAAATCAATACAAAATGCACAAAAATCTGTTTAGTCAGAATCTACACAACAGGCCAAAGGGACAAAGCCATTAAGCTTTACACTATCCTAGATGACTAAAGTAACAGGTCTTTAGCAGCTCAGCCTTTTTTTAATGCATTTGGGATCCATATTCCTTAAAAAATTGCACAGGAGATGTGGAGATGGTGGGGAGATGAGCATCTGATTACCAAATCAAGTCGGTAGATGGCAAAACATGCCTGACTTTACCAACTCTTATTGAATTACTGCAACCACATCCCTGACCATAGTTCTGAAATTCCTACACCAGTTGCAGTGATTCATCACCCACATTTGAATCGCATAGCACATCTGATACCAGAGCTCAATCCTCAGGCTCCGATAGTCTTGCTCCTAAGGAGAGATATTTTACAAGTCCAAAAAGTGAGAGCTCAGATCAATGGTCCCCACAATGCCCCCTGTGGTCAGAAACTAGATCTAGGGTGGGTCATTATAGGAGATATCTGCTTAGGAAGCATGCACAAACCAACCTCCATTAGCAGCATGCTGACAAGCACATGGGAGAATAGACTTCCTTCTATTTTTCAGTCAAGCCACAACCAATTCAGCACACATTACCTATTTGCTTTGTCCCTTCATGGGCTCCTTTACTGATAGCCTGACCTGTGAAAGTGACCAAAGTCATTTAAGGTGCACAGTCTTCTAACAGATGGAAGATGACAATCAGATGGCAACATCTACCAAGGACAAACTCCCTTTAGAAAAGACAGAGGGATTAGTCAAAGAAGATGGTGACAGCCGGGTCACTCCTTTTCCCTTCAGGCCAGAGATGACACCTATCTAACAATAAAGAATGAGCTGTAGCCTGCTCCTGCCACAGTCTCCAGAAATCATCTATGCCAGGGGTCTGCAACCTTAAATACTCAAAGAGCTGGACTTCTGGTGGTGATGTCATGACAGTGAAGGGAGAAGAAGAATGGGCTCCGTTTCTTCATCCTAATTCTTCACGTTGGGAGGACCCTGAAGGAATACACAGGTCCTGAAGAGATCCGTGGCGGAGTGGGGAAACCCGAGGAACAGAGTGGCAGAGAGTGACTGTCTCTGCGACGAAGGGATACCCTTCATGCCCAGACTGTGTCTGCCATCCTTTAATGGTGGATCTGAAGTTGCAATAATCCAAAGAAGGAAGCAATAATTTGGAATAACAGACTGTGGCAGTGACCGGATTCTAGCAGTGCAGAGATTGAGTGCGGAGGAAAGTGAGAGAAGGTTCAAAAAACGCAGAGGGCGAAAGAGGGAGTCTCAGATGGAAGTGGAGTCTGAGGTGGAAACTCAGAAAGCGGCAGTGAGCTGTAAGTGGTTACAGTGGTGTAAGTAATATCTGGGAGTGAAAGGCTTGCCTAAGCGGTTGGACTATCTGAGACGGAATGAACAAAGAGAGAGAATTTAGAACTTAAAGAGACCTAGACTCAGAAGAAGAAGTTGGATTTTTATGAGACTAAGTATTGTTTATAGAATACTTCCATTTCATGGTGAGAAGGGCAGGGAGGAATAGAAGAGGAAGTAGCTGATGCAATAGAAATGTTTGGAAGCCATTAAGAAGAGGACTGTATATTACACAGCAAACTTTACTGAGACTTTAACTCCAATTAAGGAAAAGAACATTGAAGGGTAAAAATATTTGATGGATGATTAATTAATGAATTTATTCATAATGAAATAAGTTTATATTTCTATTTATAAAATATTATTCTTAGAATTAAGACCTTGGTAGTTAGAAAGTGGGGAATAGAATAGTGGGAGACATCTAAATATCTTATATTGTGTTACATTGTATTACAGCTATATTTATTTATTTATATTTATTTATTCCATTAGACTATTAAAAAGGGGGGAAATTCTCTAACCGGTTATAAATTGGTTATAAATTGAGAATAGACTACCGTGTTTCTCATATTATTTTTTTCGTCTTATTTTTTTTTTTGAGCCCCGAAAAAATGGCTAGGCCGTCTTTTCAGGGGTGACTTAATTCCCCCCTCCCTGCATCTTTGGCCGGGCGGGTGGCGACAGCTTGGATGTTGACCTCAGCATTGGTAGGGCACTTCGTATCTGGGTCAACGCAGGCAGGGTATGCAACGAAAGTACTTCCTAACGGCAAGCCTCCCCACCATCCCCCCCATTTCGCATGTTTTAATATAGGCCTTAATTTGAGGAGAGGAGCTTAATTTCATTTCATGCCTATAAAACATCCTGGGACTTCCTATTGGGGGAGGCCGTATTGTTGGAGAAACAGGGTATATAGATTGATTGTTAGATTACACATTGATTGTTGTTGATTAGACATACTATATTTTATATAAGAATTAAAGTCAATAATATATATATTAAGGTTTAAATTAGCATTTTACAGTATATATATTATATATTTTATAAAAATCTATAATATTTTATAATTCTTTATAATAATAAAATATATATTTGATATTTATTGTATATTATAGTAGTACATAAGTCTTATACTATTTAGTTATACTGTAGAATATTAGTAAAACTTGTTATCAGAGGTACGTTAATTTATTTAATCAGAAAAAAGATCATAACGAATACTGACAGTTAATTAACTTCATTCACTATAATAAATACAAGGAAAACCTTAGAACTGTGATTGAGTTAAACAGGAAGTTAGACGGAGCTAAATCTAGAGAAATATATATAAAATATATAGACAATAATAATTTAAGTATTGAATGCTAATTTGGGACAATATACATAAAATTTTGAAAAAAACAGAATAAAATATTGAAGGAAATGACAAGCATTACCACAACAATCTTGAAGGCTGAGAAAAAAATGATACCAAATCCATCAACAACAGCAACAGCCTCTCCATTGACACAGAAAACCATCGAAGGAATGCTTATGACCAAAAAACAAAGTTCAGTTCAAAATACACCAAACATATAAACAACTCTTTTAACAATACAAGAAACAATGATTAAGCTCTAAGAAACTATGATGAAAAATCACGGTGAAATGGAAACAGAGATAAGTGAAATAAGAAGTGGGGAAACTAAAAAGTGCAATGAAAGATGACATACATAAATTAGATGAAAAAGTAGACTCCATCCAACAAGCTTTGGAGAAGAACGAACAAACAATAAAAGCAGTTGAAACATGGAGAGAACAAGCAGAGAAGAAACTGGAATTAGTCGATGAAAGGATGAAGATAATGAACAAAGAAATGAAAAGATTCCCTCATCTACCTGGAGATGGACCATGCAGCTTCTTATTTAGGGTTTCAGAATGTGGCTGAAACAAAAGAAGACTTAGAGCTAATAATGGCAACAATAATAGCTGACACTCTACAAAGAGACAAGGATGAAATCCTGAAAGAACTGGATGATGTATACAGAGTGAATACGAACTATGCCAGAAGACATAGACTCCCCAAAGGAAGTACATATCAGGTTCACATGGAAAAAAGTTTGAGATATACTGTATAAGATGACAATGGGTGAACCAATGAGGTACAAGCGAAAAGTGATCCAGACGTTAAAGCAGACTCCAAGGAGAGTGAGGGAGCAAAGGAGGGATTACCGGTTTACACAACTCACTAAATGAAATGAGGGATTACACAACTCACTAAATGAAATATCTTTTTCAAGTGGCTGGTCCAAGAAGGAATGTTAATATCATGGGAAGAAAAGAAGTTCAAGATCAACACTCTAGAGAAAGCCCAGGAGTTTTATGACCAACTAGTAGGGCCAGAAGAGCAGAGCAGTAAAGAAGAACTTGAGTCAAATAGTCAAGAAGATCAACAACAACAACAACAGGAAAATAAAGGAGATCTGGGGGAAGAAAGGGCGTTGGTACTTACCTGATACATCCATTCTCTGTGAACTGCAAAGAGCATCCAGCAGTGGGAGGTACTTAGACTTAGATTGGATAGGCTGGGCTTGATTGACAGGACGCTCCTCCTCCTCCACGTACTCCTTCCTAGAGACCCCAGTTTTTGTGAAGATGAAGGGAGAGAAACCTCACCCTGTTGTTGTTGTTGTTGTTTTGTGGTCATTGGCTGGACCAGGAGCCCACCAGATGGAAATTGGGTGGGTCTGGATGCTCTTCGCAGCTCTCAGAGAACGGGCGTATGAGGTAAGTACCAATACCCTTTCTCCAATGAGCTGCTCCAAGCATCCAGCAGTGGGACATACCAAAGCTTGGCTTGTCCTACGGGAGGGTCTCCGTCTGTCTTGGAGTCCCTCATGGTCCTATGGATCCTTTGTAAGACTCCCCTTCTGAATGGAAGCCTCAGTAGAGGCAAATACATCAATTTTGTAGTGTTTAATGAAGGGCGATGGTGAAGCCCATGTTGCCGCATGACATATTTCTGTTATTGGCGCTTGTGTGGCCCAGGCTGCTGAAGTTGCAGCGCTCCTAGTGGAATGTGCTGTTATGCCTCTGGTTACTGGTAATAATTGAGTCTCATATGCCTTAGCTATTGTGGCTTTCAATCACCTGCCTATATTTGGAAGTGATACCTTGTGACTCTGAGTGGTTGGCCGAAAGGAAACGAAGAGCACCTCAGCTTTTTTGTGGTGTATGTACATATGGAGAGCTCTCCTAACATCTAGTTGATGCCATTGATGTTCTAACCCCTGAGACGGTCTTGGACAAAGGCTTGGAAGGACTAGTTCTTGTGCCTTGTGAAAAGCTAAATTAATTTTTGGAATAAGAAAGTGGAGACTCATGGTTTTCAGTGGTTCAAAAGGAGCCCTTGTAAGGGCCATGAGTACCTTGTTAAGGCCCCAGGTCAGATAGCATTGCACCACAGGAGGACATAAATTTGTTGCACCACGAAGAAAACTTCCTATGCATGGATGATGTGATATAGATCTTAGACCCTTCCAGGTGACTACGGAAGCCAGGTCCGCTACCTGTTGTCTCGAGGTATTCAGTGAGAGGCCTTGTCAAGGCCCCCTTGAAGGAAGTCCAATAGCTGTGCCATTGATGGAGATCTATATTGGATTTTACGCACCATTTATAAAAATTGTGCCATGTGGCACTGTATATGTGATTTGTTGAGGGGCGTCGGGCCGCTTGAATAGGGTGTTGGTACTTACCTGATAAGCCCATTCTCTGTGAGCTGCAACGAGCATCCAGTAGTGGGAGGTGTTTCAGTCTCTCCTAGGATAGGCTGGGCTTAATTAGAAGGATGCTCCTCCTCCTCCAGGGGACTCCTCCCTAGCATCCCCCAGTTTTGGCAAAGACGAGGTGATGAAACTCACTTAATCTTCACCCTGTCTATTCGTTGGCCGGAACAGGATCCCACCAGACAGAAAATTGGGTGGGCGTGGATGCTCGTCGTAGCTCACAGACAATGGGCATATCAGGTAAATACCAACGCCCTTTCTCCTATGAGCTGCTCTGAGCATCCAGTAGTGGGACATACCAAGCTCGGCCTGTCCTATGGGAGGACCGTCTGGGTTGGAGCATCCCCACTGTCTGAGTGGACTCATTGTAACACCCTCCTGCCAAACAAGTGGAATCCCTGGATCTATCTTGGATGTCGGAAACCTGTTTCCTGTCCCCCTAAATAGTCTTTTTCCTTGCCCCCCCCCCTTTGATTCCTGCCGAGAATTCTGATCTGTCAGATTACTGGACACTCCTAAAATCTGATTCTCTCTGGAATCTAGGGGAGAAATGTCCCTGATAGTAGGGACGAAAGGAACCTCTCCAAAAGTGCTGAAAAACTCTATTATCTGAGCGACGAAGAAGGGAGTGGAGACTCTTCTTACTCCTGGTCTCAATCAGAAGCAGATCCAGGGCAGAGCCAAACAATTTATCACCCCAAATTGGGGAAGAGGCAAGCTTCCATTTGTGTTTAGTATCAGCTTGCCAACGTCTAAGCCATAGCAGTCGGTGAGCTGTAACCTGTGACCCCATGGCTCTTGCTGAAAACTTGACCGCATTGAAAGTAGCATCAGCAGAGAATTCTGCAGCCACAATTAGTTTGGCGATGTCCTGATGTGCCCTGATATTAGAGTGTGGGACGGTACCCCTCAGGTGACAGAGCCATCTCAGGGAAGATCTAGTGAAAAAAGATGCGGCCGTAGCTGCCCTTATGGCCCATGCATCAGACTGTTGAGCCCTGCGAAGAACTATCTCGGCTCTTTCCTCTTCTGGCCTAAGCACCTCCTCTGCTTTGGTGGGGATCGCAGAGGAGGAAACTAAGGCTACCACTGGTTCACCTACTTCAGGGGTATTAAGGAAATTTGAAAATTCTGATTCCCTGTAAATAGGGACAAAGGAACCCCCTCGAAAGGGCTGGGAAGGTCTATCTTGTAATCTACGAAAAAGAGAGGGGAGGGTCTTTTTCTTGCTTCTTATCAGAAACGGGTCCAGGGTAGTGCCAAACAATTTATCTCCCAATATTGGGGAGGAAGCAAGCTTCCATTTGTGTTTGATATCTGCTTGCCAATGTCTGAGCCATAGCAATTGACAAGCTGTAACCTGAGATGCCATGGCTCGAGCAGAGAATTTGACAGAATTGAATGTAGTGTCCGCAGAGAATTCTGTGGCCACTATTAGCTTGGAGATGTCCTTGTGCGCTCTGATATTTGAATTTAGGATGATCTCCCTCAGATGCCGGAGCCATCTGAGAGATGATCTTGTGAAAAAGGATGCAGCAGTTGCCGCTCTTATGGCCCATGCATCTGATTGTTGTGCCTTATGTAGAGAAAACTCAGCCCTTTTATCTTCTGGCTTGATAGCCTCCTCTTGCCTCAGTTGGAATTGCAGAGAAGGATGCCAATGCCAGCACTGGTTCATCTACCACTGTGGTGTTGAGTAATTTAGAGAAATCAGAAGCCAAATTTTAAAAAAATTCTATCATATCCTGTAGGAGGGTAGAGGCCCATTATTTCTGGATGAGGACTGAGAACATCTGCAGGACAGGTATGACTTCCTCTTCCATTATTGGTTGGGAGAAGATCAAATTGTCTGACTCCCCTTGCAGTACAGATTGTTGGGCCGAGGGGTATGGAATATCGAGGCAGGAAATAGTTTTTGAACAACAGAGATCTAAAAAGTTAAAGGTGGAACAGACCCATAAAGGTCAGTTGGTCTGACTTAATGCCTTCATTGTCTGACATGCCCCTTTTCAGAGGATCCGCCTCTGGCAGGTTTTTGTCACTGTTGTAAATAGACCTTTCCTCAACCTGTTCCATTTCCTCTAGTTCTTCCACATCCTGTACATTGTGTGAATGTGTATTTTGGATTATATAACACTCCTCTGAAGGAGGTACCTGCTGGTAATGAAGGTCTGTTCTGCATAGCGACTGAATCAAGAGAGAATCCAAGTCAGAGTGTGGAGGCTGCCTACTCATCAACGTCTGCTGTACCCAAGCTGCAATACCCCATCTAATCGCCATCTCCATCCAGGCCTTCATTTTGTCAGGGATATCCTCTGGAAGGAGGTCACTTTGGTGTAGTTCCATAGCTGTCTGTCTGGCAGATAGCGATGCTGAAGGCCTGGGTTGAACAAATCCCTCCTGGATGGCATTGAGAGATCCAGGGGTGGTGGCAAGGTGTCTGGAACTGGGACCAGCCTGGCTGGAGAAGAGGACTGAGACTTCTGTTCAGCCTCCCTCACGCATTTTTTTTAATATGCTTATCTAGCACCTTTTGGCGTCTCTTGGCATCCTTTTCTGCAGTCTTAGGAGTCTCCTTGGATGTTTGGGTTTACTTTGTGATCGAAATGATGGCTTGGATTGCCCTCTGGGGTTACTTTGCTTGCCATTGCAATTCCTGACCTAGAGCCCACAAGGCAAGATATATATACACTTCTCAAAAAATAAAGGGAATACTTAAACAGCACAATGTAACTCCAAGTCAATCACACTTCTGTGAAAGCAAACTGTCCACTTAAGTAGCAACACTGATTGACAATCAATTTCACATGCTGTTGTGCAAATGGAATAGACAAAGGTGGAAAGCATAGGCAGTTAGCAAGACATCGCCAATAAAGGAGTGGTTCTGCAGGAGGTGACCACAGACCACTTCTCAGTTCCTATGCTTTCTGGCTGATGGTTTGTGTTAGGAATAACATAGGTTACCTAACGTAGTTTGAGTAAAATAATATATATAAACTATGATTGTAAGTTTAAGTGTGTGTCACTTTAAAACTGCAAAGCATGTAATTTTGGGTGTGGTGTGAAACCACCATAAGAGGGAGCAAGAGAACCTGACGATTCCCTGACAATTACTGGATTGCATGGATTGATGGTTTGTTAACTGCGTGTTTTCCCTACTGCTGAGTTGCTGAAGGAAGAGGAGTTTTGACTTCTTCATATCTCTACTGCAAGAAGATATATTACTGGACTGATATTTGTAAGTTTACTGACCTCTCTTTTTCAACACTGGAATTTGCAACTGAATAATCCTTGGACGGACTGAACTAGTGAATGATATATGGACTGTTTGACTATGCTATAACTCTTACTGGAATAAACTATTTAATTAGCACTGTGTATCTGTTTTACTGAGTGTAAGCTACAAAAACGTTTATCTCACATATTTTGCCTGCCTGCCTGACTGCCATGCAGATTCTGCTAGGGTGTATCCCTAACAGTTTGGTCACTTTTGAATGCTGGCGGTGCTTTCACTCTAGTGGTAGCATGAGACGGAGTCTACAACCGACACACGTGGCTCAGGTAGTGCAGCTCATTCAGGATGGCACCTCAATGCGAGCTGTGGCAAGGTTTGCTGTGTCTGTCAGCATAGTGTCCAGAGCATGGAGGCGCTACCAGGAGACAGGCCAGTACATCAGGAGATGTGGAGGAGGCCATAGGAGGGCAACTACCCAGCATCATGACTGCTACCTCAGCCTTTGTGCAAGGAGGGACAGGAGGAACACTACCAGAGCCCTGCAAAATGACCTCCAGTGGGCCACAAATGTGCATGTGGCTGCTCAAACGGTTAGAAACAGACTCCATGAGGGTGGTATGAGGGCCCGACGTCCACAGATGGGGGTTGTGCTTAGAGCCCAACACCGTGCAGGACATTTGGCATTTGCCAGAGAACACCAAGATTGGCACATTCGCCACTGGGGAGGGGGTCTGCAACACCCGCAAACTCTGTCCGGATCCCCCCTGTCTTCAGCTGCCTCTACGAGGCAGCTATATCCCCCAAAGCCACCCAGATCGGGGGCACCTCAGCAGCGAGCGCAGCAGGGATCGCACAGAAAGGCAAATCCCTGCTGCTGCCGAAGCCTTGCAAACCGGAAGTGCTTTGCCGATTCTTGTTGATTTTTACTTGTATTTCTTTATTTTATGTTGCTGAATTGCAATGACATATGTGCCCCTTCTTGTGCACAACCCAGAAGCTTTTGTGATTCTTTGCAGCAACAATTACCAACCACTGGCTTTGCTCTACTTTTCAAATGTGCTGCCACTGCCGTGTTCTAGATGCCAGCCCCACAGCTCCACCCCATTGAGCCCGCAGTACCGAAGGGATCTGCCCAAGCAAGTCCGAGTGTAGCAGTGGACCAAGTCAATGAGGTGAGCCTGAGAGAGGGAAAGAGAGAGAAAAGAGAGAGAAAGAGAGAAGGAAGAAAAGAAAGAGAAAAGGGAAAGAAAAAAAAGGAACAGACAAAGAAAGGGAGAGATGGAAGGAAGGGACAGAAAGAAAAAGAAAAAAAGGAGGGAGGGAGGAGAAAGATAATGATATATCTATTCTAGTCCAATCACCTGCTCCAGCAGGGTTAGAGGGGTGTGTGTGTGTGTGTGTGTGTGTGTGTGTGTGTGTGTGTGTGTGTGT